TACCTTTTGACTTAGATGTGACTTTAATGACAGATAACTGAGAACAGGTCAATACTTTCCTCCTCCTCAATTTCACTGATTTCGCTAAAACTATCAGAATTATCATCGATATCAGCAAAATTAGATTGAGAGTCAAGTTTCGAATTCTTAGTTCTTTTCAAAATTTTGATTTGTTCACTTTTGTGCAAAGTATCATTCACTATCTCAACAAGTTCATCAGCATTCAAATATTCGTCTATCTTAACAATACCATAAGCAAATCGATTATCAGGCACTTTATCGAATTCTGCTATGGTTTTCTCACAATCATAGGATAAACTATCAATTTTCTCTCTTTCGAAAGCAAGAAAAGGCAACAGTTTCCTATGTTGTTCTTTGATTATATCACACAAATGATGCAATGATGTCAATTTAGCATAAAGTCTTTTGGTTGAATTACAATAAACGTTTCTTTGTGCAAGTAATATTCGAACATCCATATCTAGACATTCCCTATCATTATTCACATTACTTAATTGCAATTCCAAATACTCTACTCTGCTTCGTTTCGAATCTAACAATTTTTGGGTCTCTAGCAACTGAATGTTCAGTTTCTTAGCTTCATTACTAGCAGACACCACAATTGTATCAAAGTAAGCAACAGTATCATCAAAAGCAATTATTTCAAAATCATAAGCTTGTAAAGGAATGTTAAAAGACTGAAGAATAGCACGTACCTTGGTTGTCATTGGAGATTTGTCTCCTGTCTTGGTCATGAAACAACGACCAGTCACCTTTTCGTCCTTGTCCTCCTCAAATTGTGCGAACATAGCACCATGCGTCGGATTACGCATCTCTTCATCATCAGACCCTGAAGACCAGATCTGATATGTGCCATCATCCTCACCTTCACCTTGATCAACCAAAGATAACCCCTTCGTCTTTGCACGAACTTCTTCCAATCTTTCCACATAATAGGCTTCGTCCTTGACCCTATTCTTTTTCTCCTCTTTCTTACGAAGCATGCAATCATTAGCCAAATGATTTGCTCCGTTGCAGTAATGACAATCAATGCCTGAATCTCCCTTAAGTTTCTTTTCAATTTTGGCTTCAGTTGCCTTCACATCATTCTTCTCGAATTTCTTCTTCTCCTCACCCACAAACTTATTCACGAAAATTCCTTTAACATCACTCTGCTTCAACTTGGGATTGAAAGGTTTCTTGAAAAACTTTTTAACTCGGTTGTTCGAGTAAAAAGCAATCGCTTCATCATTAGAATTCATTAGAAAACCTTCTTCATCAGAACCATCTTTCTCAACTACTTCTTTCTCAGACACTTTCGAAACAAGAGCTAAAGGACCTCCCAAACTCAGTTTCGACTCTTCAGCCATCTCATTCACTTCACTTTCATGTGTTTTCAACTGATTATACACATCATTCAGAGATGAAGTATCGAAGCTTTGTTGATTCTTCACCATCATGCTGACACTTCTCCACTCCTTACGAAGTCCCATCACAAAAGTGAGATTGAACTCCATTGATGACCTTATGATTCCATAATGAGTGCATCTATAGATCAGTTCATTAAGACGATCATAGTAAACTTCAATCGTTTCACTCTCCTTCTGTCTGAACTCTTTCAGCTCCACAAGACACTGCTTAATAGAGTTTATTTTTCATTTTCTCGCTTCCCTGATACTTTTCCTTAAGAGTAATCCAGATAGCTTTTGCAGTTTTACAACCACGGATGTAATTGTAAACAACAGGTGGCAAGGCACCTCTCAGTTCTCTCAAACAACGCTTTTCGTTGTTCTTCAGCCTGGTAGATTGATCAGTAACAATAGATGTTGATCCAGATGATCCAATATGTTGAACATTTAGTGGAGGTTGAGCAATTCCAGTAATGCAGCTCCAGAGTTCCTCGTCCAAACCGTTCAAGTAATCCTTCATTCGATCAGCCCACTGGTCATAATACTCCGGAATCAACATAGGAATCTTCATAGAAGATCCTAACAGATGAGAAAATGAAGTCATCGTGTTCATGTTGAAATTCGCCATTAACATACGGATGAGATTTTTCAGAAAAACTTGAAGAAACTTGAAATTGAATGACTGAATTGATCAGAAACTCAAATTCGATTACTCGATTACACAATTCAAACGCAGAATCGAACCAAAACTGTAGATCAGTGATGATTTTCAGAATCGAACAGTGCGGAAACTTTTGAGACAAATTCGTGACTCAAAAACTAGTGATTCAATTGAAAATCAGATCATTGCAGTATGATTCCTACTCTGATACCAACTGTAGTTGAATTAATCGAGTATGAGAATCAAAATCAGAGTTAAGATGAACACGAGATGTAAATAAGGTCGGGTTTAACCTCTCATTACTTTCAATGAACACGAGTACAAAACGAAAGTAGAAATGGGAAAACTCTACTTACAACTCAATGTTCAGCTCCTATTTATAGGAGGCTGAAAGTACAAAAAATACTAAGGCTAAACATTAAAGCTTCGTAAAATAGATGCCTTAGTAAATACATAAGAAACATACGAAAATGACTATTACACAGATTTCGACATATTACAAGATATTTCGACTCTACACCATCAACATTCTCATGTTGTATAATAAAAGACATGGTCACGGATCATTGATCTCATGTATAGGTGCACAAACTGAAAATCTATCTAGTTTAGATGACATCATCATAAATCTTATCCTATAAAAAATTGATCTTGTTTAAGGTAGTTTTATATCTTATCCTAATACGATTTTTGATCTGGTTTGATCCGATTTGAGATGATTTTTGACGGATTTGGATCTGGATTTTCGCAAAAACCGGTTTACAACCTGGTATCAAATTTGATGTCGTCTGTAGGATATGGATCTAGTTATAATCTTTTGGATCGTATTAATCCGATCCGGTTTGGTCAAAATCTGATTTTGACCGAATCTAGATTTTAGATCGGATCGGATTGAGTCACAATATGAAATTTCTAGGTTCCTCTGGCTTCATTTGATCTAATTCGCCATGAATGTCACGTATAGAAGATAGATTTAGTTTTCTTAGAAACCATTCCTCATATGTAAATTCTTTAAAAAGTCCATGCATGTGTCTAAATACACTTTAATTGTCCAGGGAACTCTTTCCTTTTATGGGACAATTTATCTCTGATTTTCACATAATCTCAAAAATTTAGTAAATCCGAGTTATGTTTAGATATACAACTCAAAAGTAGAAAATAATAGCATTCTCCGCTTTAATGCCAAGTTCGATATGCAACAGGTTGATTAAAATTAGAATGCTATTAAACTTTACTTATAGGTGTTAATCGATTGAATATTCATTTGAATATATATATATATATATATATATATATATATATATATATATATATATATATATATATATATATATATATATATATATAGGGTTATTTGGAAAACAAAAAACCCTAAAAATCATAAAAATGCATAAAAAAAATACTTAGAGATCACAGAACTTTTTTTGAATTTTTTTATGAAAAAATCGCAACTTTTTTAATAAAATCGCTGAAAAAAAATAAAAAATCATTTTTTTTTATAAAAAAAAAATTGGTTTTTTTTCAAAAAAAAAAATTCAGCGATTTTGTAGTAAAAGCTGCGATTTTTTCATAAAAATATTCAAAAAAAAAGTTTTGTGATCTGTAAGTATTTTTTTATGCATTTTTATGATTTTTAAGGTTTTTTGTTTTCCATAGAACCTAAACCTATATATATATATATATATATATATATATATATATATATTATATATATATATATATGTGTGTGTGTGTGTGTGTGTGTGTGATAATTATGCTACAAAAAACGGCTCCTATCATGTCATGACCAATTGAAATGCTCTTAAATGATCATAAATATTGTTTATGGAAATTTAACTGGATATATTAATATTGCAAACATTATGATCAACTACCTTAATAAAAATGCAAATTGACTTATCAGGTTAATTATCTTTTCGTTTTGTTCATATTTTGGTAACTTCTTTTTTTGTACACATGTAGGTAATGACCTTGTTGAGAATGTTTACATATGACTATTATGACCGGATATTGCATGCTATAATCGGTCATAATGGTTATATGTGAACACTTTCAAAAAGTTTGTTACCTAGATGTGTACAAAAAAAATAATTACCCAGATATAAACAAACTGAAAAGTTAATTACCTTAATAAGTAAATTTTCATTTAACAAACATTGTTTAACAAATAAAAGAAATCCTTAAATTATTTCTTGAGAATTTATTAACTTATACATCAATATTAATATGACTAATCTGTAATAATTAAAATCGACATATAATAACATAATTTACATAGAAATCATATTACAAATATTAGAACATCATAAGATTGCATGGTATAAAAAATATTATATATGTTTTAAAACGACAAGATATGCATTCCTTTGTTTTTTTCTAAATAATTGAGCATGCCAAACACAAAAGACATGTATATTAAATATGGTGAGTTGTTTACGCATAAGCAATCCATGTGGCTCCACTTATTAGGTTTTCATTTACTTGGTTTTTAAGTACCATTTGCCACTCTGATTTAGCATATAAATCTACATGATTACCCAATAATTGTAGTTTACATATTTTACCCAACTACTAATAACTAATGTATGGTTGGCTTGATAAAAATGGAATAAAATTTCATGATAATAAATTAAGAAAAGCATTGGAACAAGTATTTGCATTTTATGATCATTTTAAGTAATCTAAGAGAATAAAATAGATTTTAATAAAAAATTTGTTTGTCCGTAAATATAATATATAACTGTAACCCCAAATAAGTTATTTAACTAAAAAAAACTAAACATAATAAAATCTTAATAAACCCCAAATTAGTTACAACAGTAATATTTTTGTTATCTAAATTAAAATTATACTGTAATAAAATAAAAAATGTAACAAATAAAGATGGATTACATGTTAACCATTAGTCAAACACAACTTAAGTCTTAAGCATTAGTCAAACCAGTATTAAGATGTTTGTTTATACATATGATATGATGTTTACACAATTATACAAGTTTTAGGGATTCAGACCACTATTAAACTGAATGGAATCCAATTCCAGTGACAATGGGAATGGGAATCAGGGAATGATTGTTGGATTAATGCCAGTCAAGTCCACCCAAAGTGGTAGACCCCACACCCTCCCACACTTCATTAAATCCCACTGCTTCATTGTCAATTCCTTCCATATCACTGTCCCACCACCCACTCCCACCTGCATCTGTTTGTCAAAACACAATTGGTTCATTTCTGCCTATTACACCATTCCACTTCAAAAAATCTAAATGTCTTAATAAGAAGAAGAAGAAAAGCAAAACTAGAATGCTTTAATAGAAAGAAAATGAAAGTAAGTTTGAATGTACTTACAGTGATTATAATGAGGCAACGGTTTCTTGTTTCTGATGAAGGGTTTCCGATGTTTTATTTGCTTGGGATTTGGGTCGCCTCCCAGAACAACTAAACCCTTTGGAGCAGGTGGTTTTCCAAGCAAGCCTTGTCATCATTAAAACACACAAATGTAAGTTGACTAAAAAGGACTTTTGTTGACCAAATGGGAAAAAAAAAAATAAAGCAATGAATTGATGACAGACCTCCAAATGCGTTTCTGCTTTTTGTCAAATCTTGGATCTGGGATTCTTCTGTGACATGAGTGGTTGTACTATATTGAGTTTGGGATTCTTCTGGATTTAAAGAAATAGTATCCTTGTTGTCCTTAATGGGCTTGAAATTTTCAAAAACATCAAGGATACCATTCAACTCTGGTCCCTCTGTTTTTTGGTCAAGATTTGCTTTATCAAGAGAGTCATTAGCACCACCTACTGTGAAAAATGGTCTCTCTTTACCCTGACAATAACCACAACTAAGTTCTTGAATCCAGCACATTGAAAACAAAAGAAAATAACTTTACAACAGTTTAGTAATTATCTTATGAGTAGCAAGTGTTTTAATTTAATGTTGCAACTAAGTGATTCCATCAATATATCAATAATTGGATGAAAGAAATGTACTTTAAGGTCAGAGATTATATCAACAATGAGCTTAAATCAGAGTACACTAACACATAAACTAGTACATTCATGAAAGTCATCTTTGTTAACAGTATGTAGTTTGGTTTGCAGGAAAGCGTTTGGTTGTACTCAATTTATATTTCGTTATATCATACTGTGGTTCAACAAATCCTTTCAAAATGTAACAGAGAAAACCTGGACTAATTTCGACGAGTCAGATGTTTTCTGCAGTTTTCGGTCAAGAAATGCCGATAATGAAATCTTCGGACGCTTCTTGCTTTGTTGTCCATCCTTCATTTTTCCTCTAGAATCACCCGACCTGTAATTGAAAATTTCAAGATCTACAGACAGCATTCCTAAAAAAACAAACATTTTAACTGAAAAAAAAAAAAAAGCAATTAGGGTTTATCGAGGATTTACTGATCATCTTCAGTGGAAGTTCGATGGATGAACGTAGACGGAATTGATAGTTGTCCACGAACCCTAATCGATGGATGATTTGAACTCATTCCTTTGATCCTTTCCTCGAATCTTTTGGTTGAATATTTGAACTTACACTGACATGTATGGAGCGTTTTGGCGCTAAAACTTGAACACTTTCATCGACTCCCCCATTTTGAGATAAATTGGTTTGGGCTCGCACTCGCAACTTTTAAGTGGGTGGATTGAGTTGGGCCAAAAACTTTTGTTTTATATTATGATTTGCATTTTGCAAATTGAATTTGCAAGTTTGCAAAATTAAATTTACAATTTCTGATTTCTAACACAATAAACAGCAATTAAGCCAATTGTTTTTTTTTGAAAGGGCATCACACCAACTAACATCTACCAGCTATCAACTTCTAACTAACAACTAACAGTTACCAGTTTCAAACATATTCATAAGACAATGAGTTTGTGTCAAGTGATGATAACTTTACATTTTGATGCTCTTTTATGTACATATTAGTATTTTGGATTATGTTATGGGGTGTTTGGGATTACTTTTTAAGGTTAAAAGTCTTTTTTGTAAAATGAATTTTTGACCGGTGATTTTTTTCGGAAGAAATTTTTTAAAATGTGTTTGTATTAGCTTTAAGGATAAAAACCAACTTTTCAGGTTAAAAGTCACAAAAGTCATAAAAAGATAGGATTTTATGACTTTTAAAAAACTAATTTTTCATTCTACACAAAAGTTATTTTTAAAAGATCTTTTCCATTAATCAAACATCTTTTGGTCATTTTTTGACTTGTTTGAAAAAATTAAAAGTCAAAAGTTGTTTTAAAAAGAATCTCAAACACACTCTATGTATTACTATAACAAAACATCTTTGAGGTAATACATTTTTAATTTTGATACTCCAAACATTTTTTTCTAGGGTATTCACGTGAAAAATATGGGCTTTGCCTTGGATCTTGTTTATCACTAAATAAACTGTTCGAATAAGTGTATTTTAAGAAAATTGTTCCATCAAACTTAATGAAATTGATTAATAGTAAAAACGATGGAAACTATACAAATTTTATAAAGAACACAACACATACTACGACAAAAAGGGTATTTGGAGAAAACATAAATATGAGAGATCTTCATCCAACAACTGGCCACTTGATACATGCAATTAGTTTGATATAGATTGATAGGAGTATATTCTTAGAATCTGTCTTCTCAATTCATATGCCAATTGATAAACTGATTATGATTATATTTTGGATTGTGAAAATGTATCAATGTAAAGTGTATTGTTCAAATAATTATGTAACATATAACTAACTTTTAATATAATTAATGTTCATAAGTCTTTACGCGGTTTAATAGGGAAATTTTCATATATATCTTTCCAAACTCCAAAATTACTTCAATATCCTTATAAACTTTGATATTACGTACATATCCCTCTAAAACTATAAAAATTACATCAATATCCAAAATCAATCTTTAATTAGAATTATATCAATTTTTATTAGTTTTTTTATCTAATATTCAAAATTATATATTAGTTTACCAATTTACCCTTTCCTAATTAAATCTCAAATTAAATCACCCTTTCTTAATTAATTCACAAACTAAATCACGTAACAAATCCTATCTGTTAATTCGATAAAGCCCCTTTAATATTGGAATCAACTTCTTCGTGAGCGTATCTCGTCTCCAAGCTAATCAGTTCGACAGGTCGCATTAATCACAGTAGGTATTTATATTTGTTTTCGGACCATTTATGTAGTTGTTTTTGTTTACAGGGACCATTTTTTAATAATTTCCTTCCACAGTGGTGATTTCTGTAATCTTTTTCTGCAACAGGTACCACTTATGCAATTATTTTTTGACCAATTCAGTAATATTTTTCTGCCACGGGGACTTTTTATGTCATTGTTTTGGGACCATTTAAGAAATATTTTTATGTCATAAGGACCGTTTCTGTAATATTTTTCTGCATATGACCATTTTTATACTATTTTTCTACCATAAGAACTGTTTCTGTAATATTTTCTGCATAAGACCATATTTGTACTATTTTTCTGCCATAAGGACCGTTTCTGTAATATTTTTCTGCATAGGACCATTTTTGTACTATTTTTCTGCCATAACGACTGTTTTTGTAATATTTTTCTGCATAGGACCATATTTATACTATTTTTCTGCCATAAGGACCGTTAATATTTTTCTGCATAGGACCATTTTTGTACTATTTTTCTGCCATAAGGACTGTTTTTGTAATATTTTTCTGCATAGGACCATATTTGTACTATTTTTCTGCCATAAGGACCGTTTCTGTAATATTTTTCTGCATAGGACCAATTTTGTACTATTTTTCTGCCATAAGGACTGTTTTTGTAATATTTTTCTGCGTAGGACCATTTTTGTACTATTTTTCTGCCATAAGGACTATTTTTGTAATATTTTTCTGCATAGGGCCATCTAAATGATCACTTGAAGGACCAACATTGTTGATGTTTTGGACAAAATTACCCTTTGGTCCAACAGCCACTAAAGATTCAATAGATGTTTTGGACGAAATTACCCTTATTACAAATGCTATAAACTATGAAATAAATCAATATAATACCAAACTTTTCATTTTTTGAATGGATAAAATGCATTAAATATAACAACCAGCTCCTGCTGGGAAAGTTACAATGCATAGAAAATAAGAAGCTACAAAATTATATGAAAGAAAAAGAAAAAACACCATAAACAAGGTAGAATAAAAAACAGAATAACCTAACATGTAAAAATACCAAAATAACCTAACATGTAACTTTGACAAAAGACTAGCAATAACACCAAAAATCCAAAATAACACTCTACTTTTAGTAGTGTTTCCAAAATAGCATTCTACTTATGAGATGGTTTCCATATGCACATAAACATCTCACTCTTCTAATGAATTCTAGTTGTAAGGGCATGGATTTTATCACATTTTCTCCTTCTGATAAACTTCCTGATTTGATGTACATGTGAGCAAGTTAACTCCCTACAATCTGTTGTGAAACCTCCACTCAAGTTCACGTACAAGAGAATGAAGAATAAAAAAATGACACACGCAGGAGGGACCTCTAACCCGCCATCAGGCCTGCAGAGGTAGTGGGACGACAGGGGCAATTTGGGAAGTTCTAGGGCCAACTGTCAAATTAGTCTATTTGAAGGAAGGGACACCTGGGAGAGAGGCATCAGATTATTCTCATAGAAGTTTCTATTCCTGGGAGATTTGTAGCATCTCGAACAGCTACTACTTTTATCATTCGCTTCTATCATTGTTCTTATTTGTATTGCAATTTTTCCAAGATTAATACAAATTGCTGCTGATTTTGGGATCCTTCCCTGTTAATATTTGTTCTACAACAAATTGGTATCAGAGCAGTCCCTGGGACTATGGCTGGAGAAAAAGGAGGGGGTAAAGAGACTGGAGGAGCCCATCTTAAAAGGGTGGAATCGTTGGAACTGGAGCTGGGAACCTTGTATGATCGACTGGAGAACTAAGGGAATCAGATTCAACACCAAGCTGATTCCATAGCTTCAATTCAGTTGAAGATGGACCAACATCAGCTGAAGATGGACCAAAAGATGGAGGAAATCTTGGGTGCCTTGTCCAAAAATCGAGCTACAACCCACCATGGGAAGACCACCGAGGAGGAACAACCTAGCATCTCACCGATTCCTTCCATCGAAGAAACACCCAAGGTCTACAGCGGAGCGTCACACAGCGACACCGGAGGAACCAGAAGCAGAAACGGGGGGGAGAAGGCCACACCGGGGGAACCAACTGGCGATATCGGAAGTTGGATATGCCTCTGTTCGACGATGAAAACCGCGATGGGTGGATCTTGAGAACGGAGCGATATTTTAACTTTTACAGACTATCTGAGAGTGAAAAGTTGGAGGCGGCAGTGGTGGCTCTTGAAGGAGACGCCTTACTTTGGTTTCAATGGGAGCACGGAAGACGACCTATTACGCAATGGGACGAATTGAAATCGCTCCTCCTTAGGCAGTTCCGTCCGATTTACGCAGGTACGCTCTATCAACAGTGGTTAGCCCTAAGTCAAACCGGGTCGGTCCATGAGTACCAACGTGCGTTTATTGAATTACTTGCTCCGCTTAGAAACATTTCGGACGATGTTATCATGGGTCAGTTTGTCAATAGGCTCAAGGAGGAAATTAGGACTGAAGTCCAACTCTTGGAGCCCAGATCTATTGACCATGCGATGTCAATCGCAATCAAGGTTGAAGGAAAGTTGCGATCCCACGCCTCACGGAAACCAAATCCTCCCACCTCTCTCACCCAGAAAACGACGCCACTCATCACCCCCATTAAGACCACCATCTACTCGGCTAACCCTAGATCCAGAAATAGCTCCAGTCAACCTTCAACTAACCGAACCACGGAAGTGCGAAGGCTCACAGATCAAGAATTGCAACAGAAAAGAGAAAAGGGAATTTGTTACCGATGTGATGAAAAATGGAATCTGGGGCATCGTTGCAAAAAGAAGGAGTTGAGTGTTTTGATCACCCATGAGGATGATGAACCAGAAACAGAGCCAACCTTGGATTTGGAATCGGAGCTCGCGACAGAGACCCCAGAAGAGACTGTCTTATCGGGTATTTGTTTAAACTCAGTCGTCGGAACGAACAATCCAAAAACACTCAAGTTAACAGAGAAAGTGGCAGGATCCGAAGTCGTGGTCCTCATTGACCCCGGGGCAATGCATAATTTCTTGTCTCTAGAGGCGATACAACAACTCAACCTGCCAATAACTCCCACCGTGGGGTTTGGCATATCTCTGGGCACCGGGGAAGCAGACACTGGAAGTGGGAAGTGTGAAGGGGTACTACTGCAATTACAGGGCCTTTGCATCCGAGAAGATTTCCTTCCTTTGACTTTGGGAACTTCTGATGTTATACTGGGAGTTCAATGGTTGGAAACCTTAGGACCGGTAACTACAAACTGGAAAACTCAACACATGAAGTTCCAGCTAGGTGGACAGTGGGTGACATTGAAAGGCGACCCTTCTCTTGAACGAGCCAAGATAACTCTGAAAAATATGGTGAAAACTCTTGGATCAGTGGGTGGGGGAATTTGGGTGCAGCTCAGCCTCATTGAACAGCATCCGACCATTCAGACTTTGCCAGCCTGCGCTGATTACCTTAAACAAATAGTTCATCAGTACGCCTCGGTGTTTTCATGGAAAGGGGGGATGCCACCACGGAGGAATCAGCAACATACCATTCAGTTAAAAGAAGGAACTGAGCCTGTGTCTGTTAGACCCTACCGATAGACCCACACTCAAAAGGAGGAAATTGAAAGACTGTTACAGGATATGCTTAAATCAGGTATCATTCAGACGTCCCAAAGTCCATTTTCAAGTCCAATCCTCTTAGTTAAAAAGAAAGATGGGTCGTGGAGGTTCTGTGTTGATTATCGCAATCTTAACAAGTTGACTGTTAGGAACAAGTTTCTGATACCAATCATAGAAGAGTTGTTGGACGAATTGCATGGCTCTCATGTGTTCTCCGAGTTAGACCTTAAGTCGGGGTATCATCAAATCAGAATGAAGGAAGAAGACATACCAAAAACAGCTTTTTGATCCCATGAAGGTCATTACGAATTCAAGGTAATGCTTTTTGGCCTTACTAACGCGCCAGCAACTTTTCCAATCGGTGATGAACGAGGTATTCAAAACGTATCTACGCAAGTTTGTACTAGTATTCTTCGACGACATCCTAGTGTACAGTTAAAATGAGAGTCAACATCTGACACACATGGAACTGGTATTGCAAACACTAGACCAACACCAATTTTTCGCAAACCCAAACAAATGTGAATTGGGTAAGCTGCAAATCGCTTATTTGGGGCATGTGATATCAGAACAAGGGGTTGCTGTTGATAAAGAGAAGATCAAGGCGATCGAAGCTTGGCCAACCCCGACAACCTTGAAGGAGCTGAGGGGATTCTTGGGTCTAGCCGGGTATTACAGGAAATTTATCAAAGGATACGTAAGTATTGCCTCTCCATTGACAGATCAACTAAAAAAAGAAAATTTTGGATGGAACGCAACTGCAAAGGATGCCTTCCAGGCTTTAAAATCAGCCTTGGTGCATACGCCTGTTCTTGCCATGCCAAACTTCAACAAGCAATTTATTGTGGAAACTGATGCTTCCGGGACCGGGTTGGGGGCCGTGTTGATTCAAGAAGGGCACCCCATAGCTTATTACAGCCAGGTGTTGGGAGTAAGAAATAGACTCAAATCGATCTATGAAAAAAAAATTAATGGCCATAGTATTGGCTGTGAGACGGTGGAGGCACTACTTACTTGGCAGACACTTCATCATCAGAACCGATCAAAGGAGCTTAAGGTTCCTGATGGAACGAAGAGAGGTGGGACCAGAATACCAAAAATGGATGTACAAGATTCTAGGGTTTGATTTCGAAATCTAATACAAACCCGGATCCGCAAACAACGCCGTCGATGCCCTATCGCGTGCAACCCCAGTGGAGGCAGAATTACAATCGTTACATTCCTCGTGGTCAGTGCCAATGAATGAACTCGAGGCGAAAGTGGCTAATGATTCCTTCATTCAACAGATCATAGCTGACATTACAGCAGGGGAAAGAGCTCACGTAGGATACAGCTGGGAGAATGGGAAATTATGGTATAAGGGCATAATGGTCATACCCCAAAAATCAAGGTTTGTGCAGGTTTTACTCAAGGAGTTTCACGACTTTGTATTTGGAGGGCATGAAGGCGAATTCAGAACCTACCAAAGACTGGCAGCGGAGTGGTTTTGGGTCGGCATGAGGAAGGCGGTTCAAAAGTATGTGCAAGGGAGCATCACATGTCAGACACAAAAATCCTTGAATACCCAACCGGCTGGACTGCTCCAGCCTTTGCCAATTCCTGATCAGGTGTGGGATGAAGTTTCAATGGATTTCATTGAAGCTTTGCCAAAATCGAAAGGGTACAATTCAGTTTTGGTGGTGGTAGACCGACTTACTAAATACTCTCATTTCATAGCGATCAAACACCCATTTATAGCGTCAACCATAGCTGCCACCTTCATCAAAGAAATTGTGAGGTTGCACGGGTTCCCAACTTCCATTGTGTCAGATAGGGACAAGATCTTCATGAGTTTGTTTTGGAAGGAGCTCTTCAAACTGCAAGGCACTCAGCTGCTCAGGAGCACTGCCTACCATCCGCAAACGGATGGTCAAACAGAAATTGTTAACAAATCAGTGGAGCTCTACCTTCGCTGTTTCATCCAAGGGAAACCAAAAACGTGGATCAAATGGTTCCCATGGGCTGAATTCTGCCACAACACCGCTTATCACACGGCGGGAAAGACCACCCCATTCAAGGCCTTGTACGGACGTGATCCTCCCCGAGTCATAAAGGTTCAGAAAGGAGATACATCTGTTTCTGCTCTTGAGGATCAACTCCTAGAGTGTGATGCAATCTTGGAAGATCTCAAGGGTCATTTACTTCAAGCCCAACAGAAGATGAAGGCTATGGCGGACAAGAACAGAAGGAATGTTGATTTTAAAGAAAGAGAATGGGTGTTCCTCAAGTTGCAGCCGTATAGACAGCAGTCCCTAACTAGCAGACCCTTCCAGAAGCTAGCAGCTAGGTTCTATGGGCCTTTCCAGATTACACAAAAGGTGGGAAAGGTGGCCTACCAAATCCAATTGCCGGACACAGCGAAAATTCACCCTGTATTTCATGTGTCTCAGCTCAAAAAGGCAATTGGAAACCAGATTGCAGATCCCACTCTTCCAGCTCAGATGAGAGAGGACTTGAGGCTGGATTGGCATCCGGAATCAGTGCTAGGGGTACGTGTCCAGACCGAGGAGCAGGGTCAGAGAACTGAAGTACTGATTAAGTGGAAGGAAGTCCCAGAATTTGAATCTACTTGGGAAGACTTTGTCACTATGTCAGAATCCTTTCCAGAATTCAACCTTGAGGACAAGGTTGAACTTTGGGGGAGGAGTAATGTTGTGAAACCTCCATTTAAGTTCACGTACAAGAGAATGAAGAATAAAAAAAATGACACACGCAGGAGGGACCACTAACCTGCCATCAGGCCTGCAGAGGTAGTGGGACGACAGGGGCAATTTGGGAAGTTCTAGGGCCAGCTGTCAAATTAGTCTATTTGAAGGAAGGGACACCTGGGAGGGAGGCATCAGATTATTCTCATAGAAGTTTCTATTCCTGGGAGATTTGTAGCATCTCGAACAACTACTACTTTTATCATTCGCTTCTATCATTGTTCTTATTTGTATTGCAATTTTTCCAAGATTAATACAAATTGCTGCTGATTTTGGGATCATTCCCTATTAATATTTGTTCTACAACACAATCACATTAACTTGGACTCCTGTTTTAACAGGATATGCATGAACCTGTTGGCCAACGACTAAGCTTTTTAAGCCAGCACATCCACGAAGAACACTTCCATTAATGAATTCCAGTTATAAGAAAGGCATAAACTTTTGAAAAGGGTGGAAAAGAAATCAAGAATTGATTATTGATCTCACATGCCATGAGTAAATTCATCGGGGATAAAAACCCACAACGTGTATTTCCCAGAAGAGGCTCAAAGCTTCCTCATTACATTCAAAATCGGTCAAACCTGCAATCAAGGCATTCCATGTCGCGATATTTCTTTCAGGCGTTTCATCGAACATTTTGTGTGCTGTATCCTAATCGCCACTTTATACAAATCCTCCGACCAATATGTTATACGACATGATGTTTTTCTTCGGCATTACGTGGAACAATGACCGGGCAATCTGTGATTGACCGAACTTCAAGTACGTATTGAGGAGCTGGTTGGGG